GACAGCAGGTACCCCCGGCATCTAGTGGATAGAAGCCAGGGATGCTGCTGGCCCTCTTGCCGAGCACAGGGCACCCCCCCAACCCTGGCCAACAAAGGATCATTCCGACTCAAATATCAATCACGCCCAGGTTAAGAAAATATGACTTTTTAACTTGCCTTTAAGTAATAATTCCTTTTATAGTATAGCTTGCTCATTCATTCACTTATTCATTCATTCATTAAACATTTATTATTAAGTATAGAAAATACCCGATGAGTCATATTTCTGAGTGTTGGGGGATTCCTTAATTATTCACGTAGGATGTACTTAGCATCTACTCTGCCAGGTACAGGGGTCTGGAGAAACATAGTGTGGGTGTCTCCTCACATGGGGATCACGGTCTAGTGGAAGGGGGCAAGAACCTAAACGAGTTAGCGACTAAATGCACAAGGTAACTTCAAACAGTGATAAGGACAATGGAGAGTACAAACAGGGGGAAGGGGGAAAGAATGACCAGCGCAGAAGTGACTTCTTTTAAGAGGTGAGGTTAGAGAAGGACGCTCTGTAAAGGTCCTATGGAGGCTGAGATGTTGAAGAAGGGAAGGAAACCAATTGGCAAACACCAGGAGGAGGAAACAGCAGGTTCAGAGGCTCCAGCCAGGAAGGCCTGGGCGGGTTCAAGGACCAGGATCCTCACACTGCTGAAGCTTGGGTGGGGGAGGGAGGTGGAGATGGGCAGGGATCAGAGGAGGCGGGGCCTTGTGACCTTGGTAAGGATTATAGACTATTTCAGGCTCAAAAGGGAGCCTTGGGGTGGGGTGTTTATGAGGGTGGAACATGATCTGGTTTAGGTATGTTCAGCCCACGTAGATAGCTGGTCAGAGAATGCCCTGGAGAGGGGCAAGATGCAAGGAGGGACCAGTCAGGAGGCTCCTTGTAGGAGGGAGTCCAGGTTAGACAGCAGCACTGAGTGGAGATGGAGGAAGGTGTGGATCCAAGGGTTCCAGACTGCCTTGCACGCAGCCCACAGCTCAGTGATGCAAGCTCCAGCCGGGTCCCAAGGGTCCTGCTCTGCATCCTCAGCTCACTGGTGCTCCGCTGGTCCTGACTGAGGAATGGCAGGCATGGAGTGCCTTTGTCGTCAGCAGTGAAGACTGTGATGAGTCCTGCTGACCCTGCTAAGGAGAGCTGGGCAATCTGCCATGAGCTTCCTGATCTGTGCTTCAGTGTGCCTGTCCCACTCCTTAGCTAGATGGGGGTCTTCCCTGCATATCTGACTTCTGGACTTGCCCAGGTTCCTGGCCAGCAATCTCAGCCTCTTCCCTGGTGGATGATGCTCTTGGGACCAAGGCATAGAACTTCTTGACGTTGACCCTTTAGCAGCCTCCCTTGGTACTCAGAGTAAAGCACGGTTCCTATCTGGTCCTTCCTTGATGACCTGTTCAGGCTCTTTGCACCACGTAGTTCTTGGCTCACAAGACACCTGTGGAATCCTCCAGGACAGTTCTCGCTCACCTCTTGGCTCTTGAGGGTCTCTCTGCTTTAAATGTTCTTCCTTTAGTTTTGTGCCACCTTCACATCCTAGCTCAAAGGGCATCACTCCAAGATGCTTCCTTCTCAATGGGCCTCATTTCAAACCAACAAGGAGATGAAAAAATCTTATTCTTTCAATGCATAAAGCTCAGATATACTTACAGAAGGCGTGTGTGTGTGTGTGTGTGTGTGTGTAGAGAGAGAGAATGTGAAAATCTCATGTGGAAACCAAGTCTCCCACTCCACCAGTTCACCAACATATATCCTGACTTATCTCCTTCCAAGAACTCATTACAATTGGCCATCCCCCTGCCTGTGTTTGTCCACCTCCATGATGTGTTTTCTGCCCCTTTCCACTGTCCTGAATACAAGGTCCATGAAGTCCAGGGTACTTGACCATCTGGTTGCCATTGTGTCTCTGGCATCTGCACAGTACTGGGCACACTGCAGTCATTTAATAAGTATTTGGTGATTTAATTACCACTGTGACCTAGGAAAGATTTCAGGTACCAGCATGAGAACCCACGGTGCCAAGAGGAGTCCCTCTTGGATTTCAATCCTCACTTAATGCCACTAGACTTGCTGGGGCCCTTTGGGCACTGAGTTTAGGCGTAAGTCCCTTCTCTGCCCCAGGGATGAACTAACCTCCTCCCTCTCATCTTAACCATTTCCGATGTTCTCTCCGCCCTGACACCGGGAACCCTGTACCCATGCAGCTCAGTCCTTCCCCGTTCCACTGAGATGACATGGTGAACATATGGATGTCTGACTCATTCAATTAAAAACATTTTCAAGAAGATCATTACAACAGGCTAACCACTTTGGTAATTACACAGCAGAAAGCATGCATTATTAACTGGTTTAATTTAGCAATAAATTGAATCATAGTGAGCACCTGCATTAGAAAAAACACTGGAAGGAAGTGAAGCAAATGTTAACGACATTATCCTTCTCTGGAATGTGGACCTGCGGTTGGTTTTCTCCTTATGGTTTTGGTTAATTTTGGAATTTCCTGTAATCAGGATGTATTTCTTTTATCAAAAGAAATAAGGTCTTTTTATTTATCAAAGAAATGGACAACAAATACATGAAAAAAAATGAATGTTCAACATCTCTAGCCATCAGAGAAATGCAGTCAACAAGACATTAAGATTTTCTCTCACGCCTGTCAGAATGGCAATCATCAAGAAGACGAATAATAATAAATACTGGAAGGATGTGGGGATAAAGGTAGACTCATACATTGTTGGTAGGACTGCAAATTAGTACAGTCACTCTGAAAAGCAGTATGAAGATTCCTGAAATAGCTAAGAATGGAACCACCATATGACCCAGTTATTCCACTCTTCAGTATGTATCCAAAGGAACCCACATCATCATACTATAGTGATACAGTCATATCAATGTTTATAGCAGCGTAATTCACAATAGCCAAGTTATGGAACCAGCCCAGGTGCCTGTCAGTAGATGAAGGGGTAAAGAGAATATGGTCTATATACACAATAAAGTTTTATTCAGCTGTAAAGAAGAATGAAATTGTGGTATTTGCCAGTAGATGCATGGACCTGGAGAACAACATGCTAAGTGAAGTAAGTCAGACCCAGAAAGTCAAGGATCAGATGTTTTCTCCCATTTGTGGAAGGTAGACCAAAAGGCGGGTCAGGGAGCAGGGAGAAATCCTAGGAAAACAGAAGGGAGATCAGTGAAGTATAGGAAGGAGATTGATATGAAGGGAAGGAGGACTGGAAAAGAGTAGAACAGTAGAATGAAATTAACCAAACTGTCCAATGTAAATATGAGAACAGTACACCAAATTTCGCCTTTATGTACATCTATAATGCACTAATTTAAAAATACTAAAAACTGCATGTAACTAGCAGATGTTGAATCAAGATGACAAGTATCTTATACTATTTTAAGTATATATATATGTATATATACACTTAAAATTTTATGTGATAAAACAGTTGCATAAAGATTATGTATAAGGGCTGGGGCTCAGCGGTAGAGCACTCACCTAGCACGTGCTGGGCTCGATCCTCAGCACCACATAAAAATAAATAAAGGTATCATGTCCAACTACAGCTAAAAAATATATGTATTAAAAATATGTATATATTAATATGTGTGTATATAAAAAGATTATGTGTTTATATAAATAGAGATAGATAGATATAGATATATGGAAGGTAGACCAGTAGGAGGGAGAAGGGGAGAGAAAGTAGGGATCTCAGGGACTAAAATGGAGTAAATTAAATTCCATGCATGTATAATTATGTCAAAATGAACTTAACTATTATATATAACTCTAGTACACCAATAAAAGGGAAAAAAAAAACTTTTGTTGGCTGGATTTGAGACCATGAATGATACTTCAGTGCTGGAGAGATATGTGGACATATTTCTGGTCCACAGAACCAAGGCTAGTAGTCATCTTTGCTTACACAGTTCTCCCCACATAGCCTTTTGGGGAGATTTCTGTGCTTAGAGAAGCCACTGCCTTTGAGTCAACTTAGTCCAACAGGCAAGTACAACAGTTTCTTCCCAGAAACATACCCATTCTGTCCCATGGAATGTAGTGTGTGCTACAGATGGTAAAAACATCTGTGACTACTAAAAGTATAACAGCACTTCTATAAGGCACCTCTCCCGTGAGAAATGCAAAACACAGACGAAAAACACACCCCACATATTTTAAAATACTTTTCAGGGGCTTCTTGGCTCCCTGAAGCCAAGGTTACAGACACCTGAGTTAGATAGATCTTAATGAAACGCCTCCTGAAATCCAGACCACACCTGTCCTTGGTCCTAACAGGGAACAGCCATAACTAAACCTTCTTTGTCCACAACGGTTGTTGAGACCCAGTCTCCTCTTGCAAGTCTTAGATGAACCAAGACAACCAGTTCATGACTCGGCACCCTGAAAGTTTATGCTCAGGGCTCTAAATTTTTTCATGGTCAAGGATGCTCTCAAGTAGTAGAATTTCTGGCCGTTGTGTTAATGAAAAGATTCAATCCAACAGCAGACCTAGCAATTCAGCGAGAATTACAGCATCCATCATGACTGCTAACAATGTCTCCCAGGGGCTTAAAACATCTGGGCTCAGCACACAAAGCATTTCAGCTCTGAGCTCTTGTCTGCCCTGACCTTGATCTCTTACATACCCACAAGGTGTACGTGATGCTGTTAACAGTGCACACACACTCTTGTCACCCAGGTGAACTGTACACACCCATGCAAATTCAGCAGCCTACCAGGGAAGAAAGGGTTCATGGCACTGGTGGTGAGCTGAGGCACACAGTCTGAGAAATGCTAAGGAACTTACATCGAAAGCACTATTCTATGAGACAATGACTTTCAAGATACTGAATTCCAACAAACCAACCTAGGGAAATATCACCAGTAAAAAAATTGTATCTGGTTGCCCAAACTCGCCTGGACCAAAAAGAGGAGGCTGTTTGCTGAAGGAGGGCACCATTCTTACCTCCTCCAGGGCCCACAAGGAGTCCACCACTGGCTTGATCTTCTTCTGGTTGTACAGGCCTATGAGTCTGTCCACCACGCCTCGAACAAGGCCTGCTCGGCCCTGTTTGAAGAGCAGGTGTAAGAGGGAGAACCCCGCGATGACTTTGTTCTCTTCATACAGCTTGATGGGGTTCACTTTCTCCACCTGCCACCACTGAAAGAGAAGCGGGCCCTGGGTTAGGAGACCGAACATCAGCCCACATCTGCCCCCACCCCATGCTGTCAGCTTCCATGGGGGCAGCGGAGGGCTGATCCCAGCTGCCACAGGAAGCTCTCACTGAGCCTTTTTTAAAGCACCAGTTTCATCAGGGTGTGCTGGGAGTGCACAGGATACAGCAGATGGCAGTGCTCATGCTAAGCTCAGGGGATCTAGGCGGGAGAGCCCAAACCAACTACAGGTTTGAAAGAACGAACAAGGCTCGTCATAGGAGAAAATGCCCGTTTATTGAAGAACAGCTCTGCATATTTATAGAGCCAGGGGTGGTTTGACAGTTATGACGGTTTAATGGTTGAACGGTTTGGTGGTTGGCATGAGATGCTTTCTGATTGGTGGGTAAGGATCATGTGAGCCAGCAGGGCTCACCATTGGACGGCTCTTCTTGGGGGATGGGGAAGTTAGTCTTTGGAGCTGGGGCGATTCCCAACAAAGTTGAACATCTGAAACCTGGAAATCTAAAAAAGCTCCAATGTCTGAAAATTTCAGTGTGCCAACAGGATGTCACCCTTGGAAAAAGTCTTACCTCATGTAACAAGTCTCAGTCAAAATGCAGGTGCACTAACACTAAAACATTGAATATTCTTTGGACCCTGTATATCAAGTGTACATGACACATAAATGAATTTTGGGTACAGACTTGGGTCTTATCAACAAGTGGTCTCATTATGTTATAAGCAAATATTCCAACACTAAAAAAGATATCCAAAATCTGCAACATTTCTGGCCCCAAGCATTCTGGATACAGATACTCAACCTGTACTGGGCCACATACGGTCCAAACGTTAGGAACGTGGTTGGAACCATTGGCTCTGGAGTCGAGTCCTGGCTCCTTAGCTTACTCCCTGTTATGCTCTGGGCTTTGTTTTCTCCACTGACTATAGTGGCGGAATCTGTCCTCTGAGGTTTCCCAGAAGCATAAGGTATAAAACACTTGGCTTAGGCAGTGGCACTGCAGCTACCTGGGTTGGTGAAGCAGAAGTTGAAGAGGTATTGGGGGGCATGGTGGGGGTGACCTTGTGATTTCAGGTGTAGCTTTCGTAAGGGGAGAGAATGGCAGAGCTACACCAGACAGGTGGGCGGAAATCTGTTACAGAAAGAAGAGCAAGTGGGGGCAGGAGGTAACTTACACAGAAGGAAGAATGTAAAGGGCAGTGAAGCTGAAGGGTTGGGACTTTCATAGTGGTTTTCAACTAGGGGCAGTTTTGTCCCCTACAGGGATGTTGAGTAATGTTGGGGGGATATTTTTTGGTTGTGTTAGTGGGTTGACGGGGTGTTGCTGGCACCTAATGGGTAGAAGCCAGGGCCACTGCTAAACACCCTGTGGTGCTCAGGACAGCTCCATGGCAAAGATGATCCAGCCCTAAAAACCAACAGCACTGACGTGGAGAAGCCTGGACTGAAGACCTGGGTGTCTCTTTTCCAGGCTCTCGGCTCCCCATGAGACATCAACACAAGCACATCGTCCTTAACAACCTGCAGAAATGGCCATCCAGCCACTCTGTGCTGACTTAATTGCTATGCCTTTGGTGCCAGTTGTAGGTTAGAAATTCAAACTTCTAGTTTCTGGAGGGTTTTAAGAGGTAAAATGTTTACTGTAGGTTTTAGTATAGAATGCAAAAAGAAATGTGATGGGCAGTCATAAGATTTCATGATATTTGTTATCAAGGTGCTTATTTGTATTCTGCCTGTTTCCAAAAAGAATTGAAGAGGCTTACAAAAGTAAAGGATTTTTATTTTTATTTTATTTCACTTCTTCTTTTTTTTTTTTTTTAGTACCAGGCATTAAACCCAGGAGTTCTTAACCACTGAGCCACAACCCCAGTCCTTTTTATTTGTTGAGATAGGGGTTTGCCAAGTTGCTGAGACTGGCTTTGAACTTGAGATCCTAAAATTCTGGCCTCCCAAATTGCTGGGATTTTAGGTGTGTGCCACTGTGCCCAGACAGATTTTGATTTTTTTTTTTTTAAGTTGGGAGACTCATGTTAGGTTGAAACCAGGACTGAGGTTCATATACAAAATTCTTGACCAAAAACTGTACCGCCCTTCAGCAAGGGCAAGGACCAGCTCTAGAAGAGTCACATATTGACAACGAATGTCTTTTTAGAAAGCAAAGGTAGAAAAATGATTAATAACTTGATGCATGCCTCAAGGAATATTTATGGAATGGATGCTTGCAGAATCTACAACTGCTCCACACTGGTGGTTAAGAGTTCTTGGGCTGAATGCCACTTACTAGTTGTGTGACTTTAGTGGAGTCACCTAGCCTATCTGTGCTGGGTTTCCTCTCTGAACCTCGTGGCGCTGTGATGAGGAGTGACTGTGTTCATGTATGTCAGGTGCCTAGAATGGTACCTGACATATGCTAGGTGCCCTAGAAGCACAACTTTTATTACCTTAATTTGAAAGGGATGTTTTGATTTAGAGAATAAGAGCTGTGAGTTTGGAGTCAGATTGTGCTCTAGATTTGTTCCTCGTCTTGTGAGTATCATCACTTTATGGCCCGAAAGCAAATGGCATATTTGAGAATGAGTGAAGTTCTAAGAGGGAACATAATTAAGAAAGCAGAGTGAGAAATCCGGGGACAAGTCCAACACCTCTCTTAAATCTATAGAGTTTTTTTTTTTTTTCTTTTTAAGAACATTTTAGAGCAAAGTTCTCCTTCCATTCTTTATAATACCCTCTTCAAATTACGTCTAACCGACTAGCATCGAACCAGTTCCTCTGAGCACACAGGGCTCAGAGGGTTAGTCTTTGTTCTTAGCCTTCAGCTACAAAGCATAATGTGCAAAAGAATCTACCTCCACCCTAGCCGCCCTAATCACCTAGCTGTGTGTCCGTGAGGGCCTTTGCTGAGTGTGAGCACACTGCAATTATTTTGTTAGTGTCCTGTGTTGTGATTGTGCATTTAGTGGAGAAGGGAAAACGCTTTTCTTACAATTGCATCTAATGTGTGGTAACCCACAGCAGTCGGTCAGCATCACATTAGTTACAGCCACATTAATAAAACAGCTGTGCGTGGTACCAAGTCTGTCTTCAGGGATACGGGAACACGGCATCCCGAAGAGATAGGCCCTACTCCTGCTCCTCCTGCAAATCCTGTAGCCTAGATGATCCCTGACCCCAGATTTTAAAGCCTCAATGGAGAATGAAGCCCTCTAATTTCAATCTCGTAGTTGTAGGGAGCAGGAACCTCCACAAATCAGGGAAGGTTCGGGGTAAAGTTTCTGGCAGCTGGTGCTGGCTCTTTGGGAGCACATGACATCCCTGTAGTGCCACACATAGAACAGACTCTAAGCTTCCCACGGATCACCCTGACCGCTCTATTCAAAATGCCTCTGCCCCATCCTGCTGTTTTCTCTTCCGTATCCTATTTGAATCCCCTTCTGATGCTGGAGAGCCATCAATCACGTTATTATTATGTCTGTCTTAATTTGACTTTGCCTACCTATTGGCATAGGAGAGCCACCTCTCTATGCACTGTGACTCCTGGATGCTTGGCACAATGTTGCAAACAGTAGGCACCAAGAAAATGCTTATAACAGTAAGTGAAGTCATTGGGCTGTGTAGGAAGCGCACAGCAAGCACTGTGAGAAACAGCAGGTCCCTGCTCTGGGGGTGGAGGGGAGTAAAAATAAAAGAGGCAGCCCAAATTTGCTAATGTCTAGCACTGCATAGCTCTAGACAGGAACACACATCCCTCCAGGCACCCAGTAGGGGCAAATGCCAGAGAGGTGGTTTTTCTCAATGGCAGACAAAATAATTGTGTATTCAGAGCTTGATAAAGTCGGGGGATCCCGCTCAGTAGGATGGAGACACAGAAAAACCTCAGGGTCAGAAAGTGGCCAAACTGAGAGGCTGGTCCTCTTGGGAGCAAATAAAATGCACTAATGCTAAGTTCATTTCTGACTTATGATTAAAAACACAAATGCCTCAGCAGTCTCTGTTGAAATCAAAATAAAGCTTTCTTGAGTTTCCCAGCACTCCTACTCTGACTTCATTCGGATAAAAGGAGCTCAGGCCTTTGTCTTGCCTGGGTGCAGTGAGCAGGGCAGAGATGCAGGCTTTATTGAAAATAAATGATGCAAATAAAGGACAAGCAGGAACAGTCAGCGTCTCCGATGGAGGAGCTCACAACACACAAATCCACCCCACAGCACGGTGCTGTTAGACATGCACAGTTACTTACTGATTTAGCAAAGCTGAAGAAGCTCTTGGTCTCTCCAGTTACCATGTTGGACGAACCTGCAGATGAAAGGGTCCCCAATCAGGCACTTGTTCATGGAAATGGGCATCATTTGTTACACATGGAAGGACCACAGTTGTCTGGTACCCAACTGGCAATGGCTTAAAAAAACGAGTTTAATTCAGCCTTAGAAAAATGAAGGCATAGGAGCTGGGCGTCAGGTTGACTATTTTAACTAGGTGTCATTGGATCAAAGAGGAAATGGAGATTCTTCTCACGGTGACTAGTGACATTGGAAAACTGTGTAACAAAGGGCATCCAAGGCAAGTGTTTTAATGAAATGGTGCACTGCTGACACATCTGCCAGGTTCTGCTCTTTGAGACTGAGAAAGGGACTGTGGAAAGCTGCTCTATGGGTCTGAATGCGATTCCCCAGCAAGGGAAAGGCATGGGGTGCTGACCTGGCCTGGGTACCGAGGTGGTGGAGGGGGATTCAGATGGATGGAGAAAGAAGCACAGAAGAAAGAAGAGGAGGTTAAAAACAGGTTCAGAAGACAAGGAAATGGTGTGACCAATGGGTCAGCCCCAGAGAAGTCTGGGCAGAGTGGTGAATGCCACTTGAGATAATGCAATGAGAACCTAGTTTTGCCAGTTTGTACAAGCAAGGCTCAGATGGCAGGTGGGAGGTGGAGTTGGAGAAGTTACTGTAAGATGCTGAGACTGGGAAGAAAGACCCCCCCCCACCGGTAGGGGAGGAGGAGACTTAACAATATAGGGATACCATAATGGTACCTTTTAGTGGCTCAGACACCGTAATGGTACCTCTTCAGTGGCTTTCCTGGCTTGTCCCCAGAGAATTGGAAGTAAGTTTTTCTTAAGAGAATAATTATTTAATGACAAAATAATGTATATATTAAACTTAATTAATCAACCTGGGTAAACTAGTAGCCACTTTACTGCTTCTGCCTTTATGGGCTAACTTCCAGCAGGCATATGGCCCTAGGCTTGCAGTACTTCGTAACCAAGGAATCAGTGCAATGGATTTGATAATTATGACATTCAAGCTGAACTGCACAAAAATGACATCATGGAACTGGGCCAAAAATAGAACTCCTGGGGACTGGGGTTGTGGCTCAGTGGTAGAGCGCTTGCCTAGCATGTGTGAGGCCCTGGTTTGATCCTCAGCACCACATAAAAATAAATAAGGGTATTGTGTCCAATATAACTAAAAAATAAATATTAAAAATAAATTCCTGGTAAATGATAAGACGAGGAAACGACCCATCTGCATTGTATTCACCATGTATGTCATAATGTCCTTGGACTCCCAGAAGGCCTCTCACCAATAATAATAATAAATTATGTATCCACTTCCAAGGAAATATGTGGTCATGATAGAAATTATCAAAACACCAGCAAAGGAGTATCTGTCTGTCTCTGGTGAGCTCAATTCTCTTTCTGTTATATGATCTAATGATGACAAAAAGATATTTATATTCCTCAAATATCTTTTTTATAAGCTTCTCAGCTAATGTCAGGGAAATGAGTTTTTATTCTTATTTTTTTTTTCCTGAGTTACCCAGAGTTAAGGTTCAATATCTATTGCACCTGGAGGGCACAGAGCAGTCAAGAATCTCAAACGTCCGGTAACTCCAGTATCCCTTTGCTTAGGAATATGACACCTGGCCTCATGTGAGCCTTTTTTGTAGAGACTGCTGTTTAGATCAGCTTGCGTGCCTGTGACAGGGAAGAGGGGGGCTCTAGAGTCTCCTGTTGGAGGAGACTTGCTCCCAGCTGTTTCCATCAATCTTCTCCACCACCAAGAGCATAGAAATGGAGATAGACGCAGAGCAGATGGGACTAGACCCGTGCCATCCTTCCATGGCTGCCATCTTGATGGGACATTCAGGTAGTCTGGAGGAAGAAGGGCAGCTCTCTGCAACCCATCACCAATAGAGATGAGTCCCCCAGAGGCCTCCATGTCCTGCCCACTTTTCTCCATCCTGCTATGGGTCCTCCATGCTGACATCTTCTTAATGTCCTTGAAGCCAGTTGGTATTTCCCACTTCCTGTGGGCCAAATCCCTTAAAGGTTCTACTCATCTCAGACTATCTTGGCTTGGTCTTGCTTTATCTCTTCTAAGATAACAGGATTATGGGGCAGTAGGCACAAAGTTTATCATTAAAACAACTAACAGCAGCATCAATAGGAGGAGAAACGAAACACGCCATCCCACGACCCCAACACACCAAGCAGCACATTTCATCTCTCAGAGCCTTGGTCCTGGGCACAAGGGCAGTATCCCTGACACTGACCATGCCCTGCTGCTGTGTACCACTCACCATATAAAATGTAGGTTCCCAGGGGTTTGAGAAGGCTGAGGCCTTTCCCAGTGTTGTCCCCGCACAGGCAATCCAAGACGATGTCCACACCTTCAGCGGAGATTCTAAATGGTGAGAAGACAAAGCAAAAGATGGAGAGCTGTCAGGAACCAAACTGTGGAGGCTTCTCTTTTCTTGGGTCATGTCATTTGACACAGGATCAGGCAGAGAGAGGGACCTACAAGAAGCCTGGGAGGTGGGTTTATCCTCCAAGACAAACTACAGATATCAAACTGAGTTGCTGTGGGGTCACCTCCTGATAAACGCAACCTGAGTTGAAAAAAGCTGGAGTAGAAACGTTATTGAATCCACCTCACCTCCTGGACACCATAGCTGAGCAAGGCCTGTGATCACCAGGCTAGGGGAGCTGAGTCAGCACTGGGAGAGACTATGACACTGCCTCTTGCTAGCCCAGGAGAAGATCCAAATGCAAAATGGGAAGTTCAATTATTACTAAATAATTGAATCGTTTTCATGCCAACGTCAAGTCAAAAGGTCTGAGACCAACCATTGTCAACCAGGAACTCTCTGTGAAAGGGACACTGGAGGTAGCCAAGAATTGGCTGGTGGCTCACATCAAGAACCAGCCTGGAATCCAAGAAGGATGGTGGGCACTGGAGTCAGAGGGCTCCGCTGCTACCAGCTGCCTCACTCAACCTCTTGAGCCTTAGCTTTCTCCTTTTTAAAGTGGAGTTAGTCTGTTTCTAACTAAAGGATGAGACAAGGTGACAAAGCAAATGGGTGGCCCAGGCTTGCTGCAGAGCAGACATTCCATAAGCCAGTTGAAGAGCTCTATTTCTGGAGCAAGGCCCTGTGCTGGGATCTGTCCAAGGTGCTGAGATAGATTCAGGAAGGAAACCAGCATGCACCCAGTTTTCTTGGGGCTACTAATCCAGCAGAGAGGCGCCATCATCTAACTTGCAAGCTTTTACTTGCCCAGTCTCTAGGTATAGCCTAAAACTGACTCTTAGAGGATGAGGGATAAGTAGAGAAGCTCTTCCTTAATGCTGGAAGGCTGCGGGGTAGAGAGAACCCACATTTGTATTCCACCCGACAAGCCACACAGGTTTATCTTTTCTGTTCATTTATTTATACATTCATTGATTCTCCTAATGCATTTAACAAACATTTACTTTGTTTCTGCTGTTAGGAGACACTATTCAGGAGAGGGCTATAGAATAGGCAGATTCCAGAGATTGTTGGGGAGCTATTGATGCCCACGAGACCCCTGTTACGGCTGGCCCTGCTCCGTTCAGACAGGACTAGCCTTTCTTCAGGACTGTGAGTACGTGGGATTATTTGCTATAATATTTGTGTTAGCAGATATCTCAATTTTTCTACCCCAACATGGGCATCATGGCCCGTGTCAACAGCTGAGTCTGTCTCTGTTCCTTATAAATTACCCATTCTATGGAGAGCTCTGATGGGGAGGTAGCAAGAGACCACCCTGATGGAGAGGCTCCAGCAGAGCACCTCGGGGGCTTTGGAAGATGACCCACTGTTGAGTGTTGGTGGATGAGCAAGAATTGCCCAGGTGACTCAGGGAAGGCATCTCTCAAGAGAATATAACAGCTTGGCCTGGGCTAGCAGAAGGCTTTGGGACACCAACCACAGTAATGAGAAGCCAGGACTTTGGCCTTGTGATGAAAGGGCCCAGACACTGGCTGCCACCACTGATGCTAGCTCCGAGGTGGGTGGACAGGAGCGAGGGGGTAGTGTAGCACTGGGCTTAGGATCATGAATTTTGCCTCAGTGTTAAGCGTTGAGTTCTGCCACTTGCTGTGTGACCTCAAGTGATTTACTTAGCTTCTCTGTACCTAAAACCTCCTCATCTGTGAAAGGGGATAATGATAGGCACTTTGTGAAACTTGTAAGAGAAGAGCTGGCACAAGCAGAGCGCAGAGCCTACCTCACAGTGGGCACAGGATCCACAGCAGCTTTTATTACCTTTGGTCAGAATGGCCTGACTTAAAGAGGGTCTTTTGGTTAGGAAAAGGGCAATAAAGAAGAATATTCAAAACCCCAACAAGCCAGCCACAGACCCAAGCAGACTTCCAGGTGGGTGACATCACCAGTCCAGAAACCAGCAGAGCTGAGGCTGGATGCCCTGGACCTTTCTAGGAGAAGAGCATCCACGAGCACTCAGTACAGCCCAGGTCCACTGTCGAGAAATAGCAAGAGTCATCCATTCCTTCCTCCTCCCTGCCCGGGTCCAAGGCCACAGTTCTCTCTATTTGATGGATGGAGAACTGAGGCTGAGGAGGTCAGGTGACTTACTCCAGGGCTCACTGCAGAGAATTGGGGGTTGTGTGTGTGGGGGGGGGTTAGTTCAACCCATCACATCTGGAAACCAGGAGGGCCCAGAGGCACAGAATGGCTTTGCAGGATGAACTGTGGCCATCCTGGGGTGACTGCCACTGTCATTTCTCAGCCATGCAGGCTCTAGCAGGGACTGAGAAAGGCAGGCTTCATTCCCAGGTCCTGAGGATGGGGGTCCAGGTGCTGTTTTTGCACACAAAGTAGGAAGTTCAGAGCTTCAAGACTGCTAAGTGCTGCATCCCTATTCCGTCACCACGACCTTGACCAATGGACCACACTGAAATGGAACCTTACTGATCTGAACTTAGGTCTGTTTAAAATGTCCCCGGTCCCACACCAGCCTTAGGACTGGCCCTCTGGGGACCCTCTCATGTTAGCCAGCCCCTCAGAGTCCTTCCAAGGCTGTCATCAGGAAAATCGCCAACAGAGCCAAACAGCTCATCAGTGGCACACGGGCCACCCTCACTTCTAATCCCCATTTCCAGGGTGACCAACCACCTGTACATGACAATAATTATGTAGAAGCAGAGCAGTTCGGGGCAGAGGCCCACTGCAGGGAATTTTCTGTCTGCTCTCTCTGCTGACATAAAATCTCTGTGGATTTAAAAAGCAAACACAAAAGAGCTCCATCTCAGGGATCCTGGGGCCAAATCCAGCAGCAAGACGTTTTGGAATTGCTGATCAGGCCCCTTGTGTCTGTCCTTCCTTTGTCCCCCTCGCCTCCGGCCCCTCCATGGTGAATGCTGCCTCTTGGCTCTCCACCCACGTGGATCAGGGAGGAATTTCTGTTGAGTGCTGACAAGTTCCCATGGAACCATTGCTGGGAGAGAGGCCCTGGGACCTGCCAAGAGGCGATCCCTTTGTTCTGACTTTGCTTTCCAGTGGGATTCTGGGCTCTGCTCAGCTTTCTGTTTCTGAATCCCCTTCTCTGAGAACTCTTCTGGGCCAAAGCTTTAACTATCACTGGTACATAGTAGGCTTCTTAGAGGGTGCTGGTGCCTGGTGCATGGTAGGCTGGTGTACAGTAGCTTTCTCAGAGGGCCGGCACAGTGCCTGGTGCATAGATTTCTCACAGGGGGCTGGGCATGGTTTCTGGTTCCCCTCAGGGTGCCAAGCACAGTGCCGGTGCATAGTAGGCATCTCATGTGTTCATTGACAGCCCCTCTATGTGTGGAGCCACACCACCCGGGAATTCTTTCTGGCTCCCCGTCTCCATCTCCACTCGGGCGATGACTAACTTCCAGCAACATGGATTTTAATTCTCACTAACATTTAAGTAAGCACCTACTGGGAGCCAGCATTGGGCCAGGCAGTGGGGGTGGAGCAGAGCAGGAGGTGGGTGTGTTCCTGCCCTTTCTGAGCTCAGACCCTTAGCTTCACCTTTGACAGGGACCTGCAGACTCAGGTCATTGGAGCAAGCAGCTGATCCCGGCCACTGGTGTTGGGGTCCTCCATGGACATGTGCTGCTTAGCCTGGGTCTGCTTCATCTGTTTCCCCAACTTCCTTTTTTTGTGTTTGTGTGTGGTGCTTGTGCATGGGAGGCAAGCACCCTAGCAACTGAGCTATGTCCCCAGACCTGTCTCCCCAACTTCCAAAGCCAGTTCATAGTAGCCACTTGGCAAGTGCTTAAGGGGGTGGGTTTCCACTCGCCCCAGCCCCATCTCCCCTGGGGGTCTCGCTGTCACTGCATTCACCTTGACTGAAGGACTCACCACAGCTTCTGAGGCTCCCATCTAACAACAACCCAAAGGGGTCGAGTCTAGGTCTCGTGCTGTTCTCCATCGTCCTCGTCCCCATGTCTCCTTCTCCTGAGTCTCCATTGGCTCTGCTCCTCCCCCCCCCCCCCCACCCTGTTGGGTGGTCCCTTCCCCATTCATCCTGCAACCGCAGCTAGATCAGTTTTTGTGTAGACTCATCTTTGGTGACAGTGCTCACCAGCTAAAGTATGCATTTCTGACATAATCTGGCTTGAACCCCGCTGAAGGGCTTTCCAGAGCATGGTCCCAGTAACCTGTGGTTCCCTTTAAAATTTCTCTTAATTTTTAACTGTACACATTTAGAGGTACATGTACACAAACTGTAACGAGCACATCCGGGCCATTAGCCCATCTGTCATTCCTCAAGTTCATCATTGCCATTATCAAACACTCATCATTCCAGGGGTCCTTCCCTGGGAGCAGTTTTGCTCACACCCTGCCATGAGTGATGGCTGGAGACATCTTGCATTGTCACAGCTTGGGACACAGGCAGGCGTTACTACATCTAGAAAGGAGAGCCAGGTTCAGAATCCTGCAATGCACAGGACAGCATCTGGCGGCAGAACCATCAGCCTAGAACACACATAGTACTGGTTGAGAGAAGCCCTCATCTGGCCGGATCCTGCTGTCCCCACGTCTCACACTGCCTTGTGCTTCCACCCAGGCTGCCTGGCTTCCTCATGGGCTCAGGGGCGAGCCTCCTGCCTTTGGGAGGGTGAGTGTGGGTGGGAGGAGACCACAGGCTCTGGAACCAGAACCACGTGGGGCTCAGTCCTGCCACAGGGAGGGGTGTGGAACTGAGTCACTCAGGATGCATTGGGCACTCTCCTCTGAAAAATATAGTGTCTACTTTACAAATCTGAGCTCCTCCGTGTTCTTTGGGCTTCCATTTAGATGGTGCTCACCTGTGTTTCCCAAATGCCTTATCTTTTCCCATCAGGTGCTAGCTTTACTGTCTTGCAACTGCCCCTGTAACCATCTGTCCCTACTAGTTTGGATGCCTTGGGTCACAGGGATGTGTGTGTGTGGCTCCTCACAGTGTCATGGGGCCCATTCACAGGCGTCAATAATGTGTGAATAAATGAATGAATAAAATAAAGCCTGAAATAATATTGGGCACCACATTTCACCAAAGGAAGTTTGCAATGTTTTATTTTTTTAAAAAAGATGTTTTGAAATAGCTTTATTGAGACATAACTGACACACCAAACTTGCACACATTGGAGGTGTGCAACTCAGCTGTGACCCAGGCTCACACCTGAGGAGCTACCATCACCCTCAAGGTGACCGATGCATGCTTTCTGCCCTAGAGCTCCCTCGAGGTCCCTGTTAACCAAGGGAAGGTTGGCAGGATAGAGTCCCTACCTCGTGCACCTGGTCCTGAGTCTATTTCCTGATCTGAAAAGTGAGTAGTTTCTTGCCTTGAGGGATGGTGTAAGGTGCACATAACGTGGTCTAAGCAAACTTGGCAGAACAGGAGGAGACCGACAGCTGCTCTTCTCCATCTTGCCCCACCCGAGCGCCCCTGCCTGGGACCCTCCCCACTTCCCCACCTGCTTGCCCCCCAAGTGTCCCCAAGGGGCTGTTCATCTTGATCCCCTCTGATCTCTCTTCTTTATTTCTGGAGCCTTTAACGTCAGGTGCACACGGCTCAAGGTGTCTCGCTCTAACTCGCTCACTTGTAGTCACGGCTCTCCTCCCAGACAGACGGAAAGGCAACAGAGGCCAAGGTGAAGTCTGTATCATACATATGTTTTCCTCTTCCCTTTAAAATACTTGGCTTAAGGCTGAGAGTGCCTTCAAAAGAGGTGTACTGCTTGACTGGTTTATAAGAGTTCTCACTGTAGGAAATTTATTATTTTTTTTCTAGTTCATCACACACATAATCATGTAACCATCTCTGTGATCAGAAAATAAAGGGGAGTCGCTCTGCCCACTCTCGTGATGTATGTTAGCAGTTGATATTTTCCATTTTGTTTTACGTGCACACGCTCAGATTTTTGTGCAAAGCTAGGACACAGGCATAGATGGAACACGGAATACGGCTTTTTTCCCTCAATATGCTACCAGGGTTGTTTTTTCATTGTGTGACAGTTGTCATAATTAGCCATTTTTAGGGGCTGGGGAATACTCAGGCAGGTGGGTGTAGCCTAAGCCACGGAGCCAGTTCCCTTCTGCTGGGCATGGCAGCCGGCACCGGGTCCCCTCTGCTGCAGACAGCATGCATGGCTCTGCAACAGGCAGCATGGCTCCCGCAGCTTCGTCTCACTCTGGGCTGTTTGGAGGGCAGGATGACCAGGACACAGGCTGCCACCATGGCCGTGGCTTCCCAGTCACTTCCAGTCCAATCCCAGGGTCTCTGCTTAAGATAAGAACGAGTTGCCGGAGTGGCATCTGAAGGAAGGTGGGGAGGTGGCCTCAGGTGCTGTTGCCTCTGCTCTTCTGACACCAGTGGAAATCACTGATCCTGGTGCTAGAGGAGCAGGTCGGGGTCAGGGAGAGGAGGGGACGGAGCAGCTACATGGCAGATGGGGTCCCTGGCTAGGGGGTGTCACTTCTTCAGGAGAGCTGCCTGGCACTTTTCTTACCCTCCCCACTTCAACTGCCTCCAGCTGCACCGGCCTCCTTTCAGACCCTTGAACTGACCCAGGGCCTCAGCATGTGCCAGTCCCCGGCCAACATCTGGACCCTTCCACTTTCAGCCAAGTCTTGCTCTTCCACTCATGACCCGATTTTTCCCCGTGTGTGTACACCCACTAAGGTTCTGCATTTCTCTACCAGAACACACATCAAAAGTATAAACCAATTCATTCTCTTTCGAGTCTTATTTGGTCACCTCACCCCTGCAACTACATTGCATTCCCTAGGAGGACAGTGACTCTCTAACGGTTACTGTTGGGTCTCCCTCCTGGGCACAGTCCCTAGCCCATCAGAGGTACTCAGCGCATATTTATCAAGCAGGAGGCACATAAAGAGTGACACAGTACTTAGAAAAAAAATCACTTAAGGGAGTGATTGTGGAAGGGATTGGTGGTAGTTTCTCATCTGTTTTGCAGACCGCAGCCTGAGAGGCTCAGGGTAAAAGTGGAAGAACCACCTGAGAGCTATGGTTCTGGGCAGAGGGGGGTCTTTAAAGCAAGCCTGCTTATCTGAGAAATGGGGTGGCGGGTTCTACGTCTAGATTCAAAGGTCTTCTCTCATGACAATATTCTTCTCCTGAAATATCAGGATGACCTTAAGTTAAATACAAATTTCTACATTCGAGACTTAAAAACACACCTGCAGCTTCAGACCACTGGAAGATTTCCTTTCTTAGCAACTCCCCAAGTTTCACCAAGTTGGTCTAAATCCATCCCCTCAAACAACCTATTCTGCGGTCCCCTGATCTTTCATTTTCCATCTTAATTTGTGATTTGGAGAAAATGGTTCCTTTGTTATGAGATTGGCAAGGCTACTTAATACAGTTGTACCTTACAAAGTAGGGCTGAAAAAAAGCCACACTGAACCTCTCCCGGAGCTGTGCACAGAGCGGACCCCGAGCCTGAGCACAGATCGCCAAGCAGCAGCCAGAACGAGCCACATGGGTCATCTGCAACCAGGTAGCACCTGGGTTTCCTTAGGATTCTCTGCGTTCACACATATGCGCAAACCACACACACACACACACACACAAGCACACACAAGTACACACACACACATACATATATAAGCACACGCACACTCTCTCACATTCACATACGCACAGCCACCATCAGGAGCCACATCAAAGGTGGAAAGTGGATCCAGCTATAAACCTACATTCCCCAGGTGACTGCAGTGGCCAGAAGACTGGTCTCCTTGGCTCCCTCTCATCCTCAACACACCACCAGGGACTGTGCAAAACCTAAATCTGATCACGTCCGTGTGGTAGTCCTTGCTAGTTCTTGGTGGTTTCCCCTTTGGGTGCTCCGTTGTCAATATCCATAACAGGATCAGGTGCCCAGACATCCCTGGATTTGCATAGATAAGCTTTTCCCCTTCTGAGGAGCTCCTTAATATGCATGCGCATGGCTACCTCACTATGGCGCCCCCAACCCCATCTTCCTGAGGGCATCCTTAGCACAGGCTCCACTCTTCAGAGAGAGACTCCATACATGAACAGCGTGAGGCCCCAAGTCAAATGCCTGGCTTGAACCAGGGCTCCACTCTTTACCCCTGGGCCAGCCTGCCTGGTGCCCTCTAGATGGTTTCCCAGATTGCTCTCAGGGAGGTGTGGCCAAGGACCTGAGCGTTCCGGCTGGGACTGACCCACAGAAGCCCCTCGTGCATGCCCTCCCAGTGCTCCTTCCATCTGCCAGAAAGAAGCAGAGGACGCGATACCCAAGACAATGGCAGAACCTTAAAGTGAAAAGAGCCCAGTCCCTGAATCTCCTTACAGAAGACGATCCATCCATGAATGGATGAGGAATAAACTCTGATGTGCTAAGGCAGTGGAGTAACACCTGCCTGACTCTTAACACATTCCTCCGCAAGTTCTTTAACAGCTTGGTTTCTTGGGGTAAGATTATGGCTGTGGGAGGGTTGGATGAGCTAATGCGTGTGTAGCACGGGCCTGGAGCTAGCAATACCAAGCCCCCCGTACATGGTTACTATTATCGCCGTTATCGGCTATTCTTTAAGCAAATGCTGCTGCTGTTTGAGAGAAGAGCAGCACTAAGCCTGAGCAAGCAAGTGCCTACCTTTTGACTTCTTGCACGTAGTCTGCATTTCGATCAAAGAGGTGGGTCACGGAGTCTTTGATTGCTTCATGCTTGAAAGTAGATGCCGTTCCAAAGACAGTCACATTGGGTACGGTGGAACACAGCTGAGCCACAGCTTGACCCTGGAAGTGACATATACACACAGGCAAGTCACACCCAAGGGCTACCATGTTCAATGAGGTATTATAGGTCTCAGGTTGAGGACCTGGTACAAAATGTGGCACGGAACAGATACTCAACAAATCTTCATTATCTTTTCTTTCCCCTTAGGGGCTTATTACATCCAGAGCTGAGATGTCTAGGCAGAGACAGGAAAGGTCAACATGAGCTTTAAGTATTAAAGGGTCAGGGGCAAATTACAAATGCAGTCAGGAGTGGGTGATTTTCCATATCCGCTTCCAATACGGTCAAAATTTAAGTAATTGGACAAAATGCCATGACCATGCGTATTCAGAAACCTTCTAGCGAAACCCAATCTGCTGGTAATTAAGATGCATTCTGAAACCGCTGCCTCTTTCCAGCATACCATCTGCCATTTTAAGAAGGGAAAATTATCCTACCAGAGTCATGTGCGGTATTCATTTCTGCCCATCATCTTATTTTCATGTCTTGGTGTTGGTGGATAATTCAGGGTGGCAGGTCAATTTATGGAAATGTTATTTTATCAGCAGTTGCAATTAAAGCAACATGGAGAGACTCACAGGACATCAGAGCTGGCAGGTCATCCCGGTGCCTCCTCCCTGTCATTGTTTTTCAGAGGAGGGAAAGGACACCCAGAAAAATAAAGGTCACCCCATTTTCCAGACGCACATCTGAAATTCAAAGCAAGACCTCCTGACTGCAGTTATTGCCATTTTCCATTATCTCGTGCTGTCTACTGATTCTGACATTTTAAGCTAAGCAGACTTCTAAGTCGCTACCTAAAATAGACATGTCACTGGCATGCTCCTTGGAGGTCAGCGATTTTAGAACATGGGTGTGAACCCAAGACCATAGGCTGCAACTCTTGTTCCAAGAATAGCTTTGATATTTGTTTATTTTTTTTTTTATATCCCAGATTGTATAGAACAAAGAAAGTTCTATCCTTGCTAGTGAGGGTAGCTAGCAGCAACTGGCATGGCAACTGTCTACAATTAATTGGCCTCCTGTGAGTCACGGTTACAGCTCCATAGCCACAGGGCTTGAGCTAACCTTGTACTAACTGGGAAAGGAACTTAGAATTAATTCCAGTGTCCCTGAAGTTCCTCTGCCCTCTGTTCTTGGGAAAGCATGACTTTTCTTCATTCAGCTGTTTTTCCAATTTCTATTAAGCAGTAGTCACACTGTGCTAGCGAGAGACGTCCGCATCAGAAATGACCAGCACACCCTCGTCGCTCGTCTCAGGCTGCCCACAGAGTCTTAGACTTGCAGATACAACTACCACTCTGGCGTGTTCCCAAAGCACCATCAGACTCCACTGACCCTAAACATAACCCGTGACCCTCTGCAAAGAGGCTGCTCAAGCAAAGTATCCCAACCGGGCAGCTTAAACAACAGAAATTTCTTTTCTCACAATTTGGGGGCTTAAAATCCAAAATCAAGGTGTTGGTAGATTGGTTCCTTCTCAGGGCCAGAAGGGAAGCCTATGTCGCAGCGTCTCTGCTGGTCTTGCTGAGGGACATCTTCTCCCTCTGTCTCATGACTTCACCTCCCCATCTAGGCCATTCACACTGGATTAGGGCCACCCCAAGGACGGAGATCCTGACATTGTTTGGATCCGAATCATCCTCCAGAGGTCCATGTGTGGAAGACTTCTGTCTCCAAGTGGAACTACTCGAATGTTGTAGAACCTTTAAGGGAGGAGGTTAGTGGGAGTTTTCAGTTTGGGGCAGAATGCCCTTGAAGGGAATATTGGGACCCCCAGGATCTTTCTCCCTGTCTGTTTCCTGGCTGCCATGAGATGAGCCGCCTGGCTCCACCTGGAGCTCCAGGCCTGATGCCCTCTCACCATAGGCCCCAAAGCCATGTGGACAATTTATGATGGACTGGAACCTTGGAAACTGAGCGTTAAAGTCAACCTTTTCTCTCCATGGCTTGATTTCTCTCGGGCATTTGTGATAGTGTCGGAAAGCTGACCAATAGACCCTGTCTCCAAGGAAGGCCACGTTCTGAGCTGCTCAAGGTTGGGCAGGAATTTGGGGTTGAGCCAGGTCAACACAGAACACTCCTCTCACTGCCTCCCTTCTGTGTAGTGGACTGATGGGTTCCACCACTGAAACCGGGAGTCCAGGTGTCATCTGGAACTCCTCCCCTCCCTGCTCATAGCCCGTGAGTCACCCACATATTCTTTCTATCTCTTCTTCTTGGTCCATATTGGTTCTGGCTGGATCAGGGCAGTGCTCTTCTGAAGGACCTGGCTGCCTCCCTGTGTCCTCCTGAGGCCAGAGGGAGGAGCACTTCCCCCAGGACAGTGGCTGCCACAGCCTTCCCTGGCTGCCCGCTGGCCCATCTGTGTGCTCAAGGTGCACGGGGACTGTGCCTCCATTGTCTCTGTCCCCAGGGCCTGGCACAGGACCTGGCACACAGCAGGAGCTTGGAGCAGCTTGCTGAGTGGATGCTTGAGAAACTGGCGGGGTCAGTGTCTAGGGGCAGTTCAGGTTTGTAGAGTTGGGATGAAGCATGGGTTTTAAAATTTACATCATCAGAACTGACACAGGAACTGTACATATTTTTGGAGCGCAGTGTGGCATTCTGACACATGTACATGATGGGTCACCATTAGTCAGGGTAACTGAGTCTTTCACCTAAGACTTGTGTCATTTATTTGCATTGGGAATAAATATACAAAATCCTTTCGGCTAGTTATTTTGAAAGAGTCACTGAATTGTTGCTCTGAATAGTTACCCTGCGCTAGGGGACAGTAGCAGTTACTCCTCTCCAGCTCTACCTCTGTGCCTGTCCTGGCTCCGTTCCTCTCTCCCACATGCCTTCCCAGGTCTGGTGACCACTCTTCTGTCTGGGCTTCTTTGAAATCAACTTTTTAGCTTCCAGTAAAGGTGAGGGCAGGCTTATTTCACTTAACCCAATATTCTCCAGTTCCAAGCCTATTGCTGCAAATGACAGAATGTCCTCTTTTTCGCGGCTTAATAACATTCCATCTTGCACATGGAGCGCATCTTCCTTCTCCATTCACCCATGAGCAGCACCTGGGTTGGGTCCTGGGCTGGGTGCTCAGGAACAGTGCTTAGGTGAGTGTGAGCGCAGCGTCTCCTCCAGGTGCTGCTTCCAGGTCCTTCGGTACAGACTCAGCCACAGAACTGCTGGGTCATGTGGCAGGTCTCTTTCCAGCTCTTTGAGGAACCTCCATACTGTTTTCCGAGGTGGCGACAGTGATTTACATTCCCACCAACAGAGGAGGAGGACTTCCCTTCTGAAGTGCAGATTTAATTAACATGGGCCGCCCTCTCTGCCTGGAGCACAGCTTTGCCATGTCCATTTGAAAGATGCGGTAAAAACAAACAAACCAGGGCCGCCATAAGTAATCTGGTCCACGTACACACAGCCACGCACTCCTACCAGCGGGGTACTTCCAGGAAATGCCCATGGAGAGTCTCATCACTGGGTGACAGTCATGTGCACATTGAAGAGAGCACTTCACAAACATAGATGCCACTCACTGATGCTGGGCTGTGTCAAGAAGAGCCATAAACAGGAGATGTGGGGGGCTGCCCCCCGGCAACACAGCCTAGCACTAAATGGTAAATGTTATTTCACTAAAGTTCAGGACAGTAAATATACACGCCAGAACACGGCCACGGGTGGCTATCCTCATGGTGGCTAACGACACACCAGACCCAAGCAAACAACATGTTGTGCGTGGTGTCTTGATGGCGATGTGGTCAACAGGTGGCAAGAATCTTTCAGTTCCATTTCAGTCTGAGGGGACCCCCATCTGGTTGTTGACTGAAATGTCATTAAGCAGGTGTGACTCTATTTAAATTAAATATAATAAATATTATGTATTTATAAATATAAGTATAAGAAACATTAAATATATTGTACATATAACACATAAGCATTATGTATACTATGTAATGTGCATATGTAACATATATGATTGTGATTAGAATAAAGCATGATTAGTATTAGTGTTAGAACCATATATGTACAATGAGTATAACATATATATAAATTTAATAGTGCGAAACAATTAGTGGATAGTTATTAACTATAATACAATTCATAGGCTATGAGTATTGAACATAATTTAGTAATTTACATCATGAGAGAGAGAGTGGTGCTGGAAGACAAGAACTCAGCACGCCAATTTGCAGGCTCCCAGTTCTCCATCAACTCACTGAGGTGACAAGAGGCCCTTAGTAGACCCTCAGTGATTTTTTTTTTTTCAAAGTAAATAACGCTCAGCATTCTGTATTTAAAGTGCTTTCCCTCACAGTTATAGGAAATCTGTACTCTGCCTTCTCCGCGTCCCCAGGTAAGTGCAGGATCAGCAGCTCATTTGTCCTCACTCTCCTGCGTGCCTAGCAAATAGCACGGGCTCAATAAACATTTGTGGAAGACGGAATGAATTTTCAATAAAAAGGATTTTGCAATTCACCTGCGGACCCGGGACATGAAGTGAACAAGACAATCCATGCTCCCGCAGCTGCAGGGAGTGGAGATCCGAGTGGACCTGTTCTAATGGACTTTCCTTCCCCCTTGGTGAGAGTTCTACACCAAGTCCCTCCCTGCTGCCCCTCTCTATGGCCAGCGACACAGCAGTAATAGCAGCCGTGGTTCCCCTGTCCTCACATGGCCGGGTATTGTACCAAGGGGCGTCATGAGATCCTTAAACCACCTTTAGACAAAGTTTCTTGATTTCCCATTTACACTTAAAAATGGGGATTCAGAGAGGGGAAGGGACTTGGGTAAAGCCAGAGACCCGGGACTCCGAGGCTTCTCTGCTGTTAGTCTAGCGAAGCTCTGGATGGCTGACATGGGGACTCCAGTCTGAGAGACCTGGCCTCCATTAAGGCCCCCTGGAGCCCCTATCTGGACAGCTCTGCCTCGGGCTCTGCAGGTGGACAGATTTTCAGCTGGATTTCAATCAGCCTTGTGGCTATTCCAGGGCTGTGGGGCTGTC